TATGACTATATGACTGTATGACTGAATGACTATATGACTATATGACTATATGACTATATGACTATATGACTACATGACTATATGAATATATACATACTATGACAATGACTATACACTATGACTGTATACTGTAACAATGACTATATACTATGACTATGATTATATATATATTATAACTATGAAAATATCAAATGTCACCAAAATTAAACTCATACAAGTAATTTAATTATTACTGCATTATCATCTAGAAAATTTGTTAAACATTTAGTTTAAGTACGAACTTCAAAAGAGAAAGTTACAGCAACAAGGTATTTGAAATTAGCAATATGGTTTGTGAAGGGTGGTCTTGAGAAATTAGTTTCTACGTTTCAGGTGTAATTTCCAGAAGGATCATCGGATTTAAGACGACCCTCCGAAACACAATACGTTCGATAGAGTAGAATTGATTTTTTGTTCCCACTGCCTCTTCCGTCCTCCTTTTATCCGCAGCCCAATTTATTAAGTTCGACCTTTGTGGATGCGAAAGAAAGGAAGGAGGCTGACTCGAGCAGTGTGCTTCGCTGAAAGGGAAGCAACTTCGAAGCTGTATTGTTTGAGAAATTACTAACTGATGTTAAACGAGGACAATTCTGTCCTCGAGTTTTCGAGGATAGGATTTGCGCGCTGGTTCACTTGTGCAAGTTTAGATTCTATTTTTCGGTCATTTTATGATGTTTAAAAAATATTTGTAAATAATACTTTTGTTTGCTCAAATGCTTTGCAAATGTTGGTTTAAGCATTTGAAGTATTTATAATGATTAGGAAAGTTGTATAAACTTTTTAATCGTTCTGTTATACGTTGTGGACACTAAAGTCCTTGGACGTGGTCCTGTGGACCCCGTATTTTTGGACAATGCCATTGTCAAAGTTGTTCTTTACTTTTAAGTCTAAAGAATAGATGTATGTTTGTAGTCTTTGAATTTGGCTGTACTACTAATCCTTGAATTTCACTACATGGATCCTAATTTTTTAATTCAGCTCTGTGAATCTCGTAGTCTTTGAATTCAACTCTGTGAACCCCGTAGTCTTTGAACTCGCTCCTGTGAACCCCATAGTCTCAAAACTTGACTCTGAGCCTCCTACTCTTCAAATATATTATATAAACTTCCCAATCTTTAAACCTAACATAAACCTACTCCCGGTACAAAACCTACTCCTTGAATTTAATACTGTAGGCCCTCAACTCCGTAAATTTACTCGTGTAGACCCCACAATTCCGAAGAAAACAATTCTCAATGCCCTCCATCATCGTTAATGCTCTCTATCATTGCCTCTAAAGTGGCTACGACCATTCTTCAGCGAAACTTGCAGGAAACAGAGATTAAATTATATTCATCTCGAATGAGACTGCCATACTTGAGAGTGTAAAGCATTTCTGATAACGAGCGAACAATAAACTGCCAGTACTAGCCAGGAAATTCGAACAATTCGACCGAAAGTAAGTTCAGATAAATCGAATAGCACGAGAGATATATCGGCTGGCAGGCTGTGCTGGATTATGTTGGCCTACAAAGCAACGTGCCAGACGAGCACGGCATTTGTTCTGACTGCTGTTGTTTCCCCTCGTTGTTCTTTCGTCGTAATCTTCTCCAAGTCAGCGGAATGCTGATCATTAGATCTGACGTTTATGAACCGCCACAATTGAAACAAGATAAAGTGAACAACCACAAACAGAGTCGAGGCTTTGTGATTAATTCGTTGCTAAAACTGGGGGCTGCTTGTCCAGGTGTATTCAGTTTCGCGAGCGTTGTGCTTTGAATATGTGTTTAATTAAATCGATCGGAAGCAAAAATTGTTTTAAGCTTGTGTGAAGTCTACTGAATAGTGTCTTTCTCACAATGGATGAATAGGGAAAATAAAATGTTAAGGTGAAGATGAATAAACATGAGTTAAATATTGGATTTGAAAGTGATTTCTGAAGGATTAACTATGCAGAACTGATCAACTAATTGCACTCGACAACATAATTGTTAATATTTGCATGATATTATCTAACAATGTTGCTAGCCAACAGGGTAATAGAAACTGATTAAAGGATAACTGCATTGACAACGAACGAAGTTGTAAACTGTATCGTGAATTATTAATCGTTTAAAAGTTGGAGCAACACGGTTCGATGCAGGCAACACGAGAGGCACACAAGAACACTTTCAGCGGTGTTGTTCTCCGCAATTTCTTTTAGCTGAAAGAACCACCAAGAGAAACAAGATAAAAAGACAACTATCCACCCGCAAGAGATCATCTTTTCACCCTGTCTCGGTCCGTGCACGGAGCGAGAAAAAAACCGGCCGCAGCGAAACTTTGCATCAAAGCAATAATTTACGGTGGCCACGGCATCTCGCGAGCACCGAAAAAACATCACAATTCCTTTTACGATAATTTCACCGTCCACGAAAGTCCACAATTTTCCCAACGTCTCCTTTTCATGCGGGCTCTCGCCTTCTTTCTAATGCATTTTTCACGACCAGCCCCATTTTCGGTGCGACGTTCTCGCTTATCTCCTTCGCCGACCGGGCTAATTAAAAATATTTTTTTCTCTTTCTTTGTTAATCCTCCCTTTACAGTCGATCCCAGTGCATTGTGCTATCAGCCACCCTTGGGAGCGAAAAAGACCTTTGCTTCCTCTCCTACTTGCTGCACCGTGCGTTAATGAGTTCCATTTCAACTTACATCAAAAGCCACTTCTTTTAAACTGCAATTGATCATTCAAAGGGAATTGAATAATTTCATTTTTCGATGTCGCTTCGTAGGACTGCAATTTCTAGGTAGATTGGTACTTTATACGTTTGCATAGGTCTATGATTACAATTATAGATATGTCAGATAAAATTATAGGTAGGATATGGTATTTTGGTTAGTTATGGTATTAGGTTATGCTATCGTATTATTGCAATATTAGGTTAAGTTATGTTATGTAAGATTAGGATGTGAGATAATTAGGATACTAAAATATTATGGACATACCTGGTCAGGTTATGTAAGATAAGATAGGATATGATTAGGTTAGTTTAAATTTTTTTACATTACAGATATATTTGGTTGGGTTGTGTAAGATTTAGTTATGATTAGTTTAAAGTATGTTACATTATGGACAGACTGGGTTATGTTATGTGAATTTAAGACAGGATATGATTGGGTTAGTTTAAAGTTTGTTACATTATGGACAGACTTGGTTAGGTTATGTGAGTTTAAGATAGGATACGATTGGGTTAGTTTAAAGTTTGTTACATTATGGTCAGACTAGGTTATGTTATGTAAGATTAAGACAGGATATGATTGGGTTAGTTTAAAGTTTGTTACATTATGGACAGACTTGGTTAAGTTATACAAGATTAAGTTAGATTATGATTAGGTTTGTGTAAAGTTTGTTTCATTATAGACATACTTAGTTAGGTTATACAAGATTAAGTTAAGATGTGATTAGGTTAGTTCAAAGTTTATTACATTATAGCTAGACCAGGTTAAGATAAGACAAACTAGGTTATGATTAAAAGAAGGTTGAAGTATAAGTTAGATTATGGTTATTGATCTAGATAACATTATGTATAGTTACAACTGAATTATATGACATTACAGTCAGGTTAGAACAGGTTCTATTATAATAATGTTACAACTTCGAGGATTATAATGGAATCATGTTATTTTACGTTCATACTGTTATATAATATAGTTTCCGAAACCCTATATTCCTAAATCCGTATGTTTCCCCAAGTTCATAGCTGATATTGTGTTCTCAACAGGTTAATGATATTTTGACGAAATATTATGATCGAGCAAGCAATATACCTATCAGCCGATACAACATCCCTTATTGTCCCTAGTCGAAACAACCGCACGCTGTTGAATATTGAACGAAGTAAGGAAACTTCGGTAGAAGCGGATTAGGTCGGCCTCTTAGCGTGAAACGCCGCTAGAACGAAAACAGTGGCAACCATAAGATTATGCGAAAGTTTACGGCGAGCTCTGAAAGGCGGGGGGTTATTATTGTCGCGACTTTACGGGGAAAAGTTGTGCAATCTGGCTGAAAGATATCCCTGGGAAATCAAATGAAATGCAAAACAGCTGTAGGACAAGTTAAATTAAATCGTTCCGTCCCTGCAACGAGCGGGCAATCAAATTTTTCGGAAGTTTAAAAAAACCGTGCAAAATCGCCACGTTTCAGGTTTCGAAGTAATGCGATCACGGAGCATAGAAATAGTTCGGAACTAGTGGAACTCGATAATAATGATACCGACAACCGTAGAATTCGACAGCGGTGACTACGACATCGTAGAACTCGATAAAGGTAACTTGAGAGTAACGGAACTCGATAGCGATAATTTCCAGGTCATAGAGTACGATAATGATGACTTTTGGTCGTAGAGTTCGCTAACTCTAACCCTAAAATGATAGAACACGCCGAGAATAATTTTACTGCCCTAGAAATCAATAATGATGAATGGAGAGCCGACGGATTCAGTGGTGATCAATCCTTTGTCCCTTCACTTGGCAAAGTAGACCCCGTAGTCTTTCAACTCCAATTTCACCACTTCATATTATTTGAATCTGCTCTTCTGTTCTTTAAAAATTGTTATATCAACGAATTGTTTGAAATTGAATCTGTAAACCCTGAATCTATTGGATGAGGTTATGCGAACCCCAAATTCTTTGAATTTAATTGAAACAGAATGGATCCTTTAGTCTCTGTAATTGATTCTGAGAACCCTGATTGTTTTGAACTAAGTTATGTGAAGCTCCAATACTATGAGTTAGGTTATGCGAACTCCGAATGCTTAGAACTAGGCTATCTCTATCCTGAATGCTTTGAACTAGATTATGTGAACCCCGAATGCTTTGAACTAGGTTATGTGAACCCCGTATGCTTTTAAACAAGGCAACGTAAACCCCCAATAGTTTTAATTAAACTGTGTGAACCCCGAGAGCTTTGAACTAGGTTATGTGAACCCCAAATGCTTTTAAACGAGACAATATAAACTCTCAATACTTTTAATTAAGCTGTGTGAACTTCGAGTGCTTTGAACTAGGTTATGTGAACCCCGTATGCTTTTAAACAAGGCAATGTAAACCCTCAATAGTTTTAACTAAGTTGTGTGAACTCCGAATGCTTTGAACTAGGTTATGTGGACCCCGAGTGCTTTTAAACAAGGCAATATAAACCCTCAATACTTTTAATTAAGCTGTGTGAACTTCGAGTGCTTTGAACTAGGTTATGTGAACCCCGTATGCTTTTAAACAAGGCAATGTAAACCCTCAATACTTATAATTAAGCTGATTAAGCTGTGTGAACTTCGAGTGCTTTGAACTAGGTTATGTGAACCCCAAATGCTTTTAAACGAGACAATATAAACTCTCAATACTTTTAATTAAGCTGTGTGAACTTCGAGTGCTTTGAACTAGGTTATGTGAACCCCGTATGCTTTTAAACAAGGCAATGTAAACCCTCAATAGTTTTAACTAAGTTGTGTGAACCTCGAATGCTTTGAACTAGGTTATGTGAACCCCGAATGCTATTAACTAGGTTATGTGAACCCCGAGTGCTCTGAACTAGGTCATGTGAACCCCAAATGCTATGAACATTGTATAAACCCTAAATTCTTCAAGCTAACTTATAAAAACCTTAAATTTATAAACTCTGAGCAACAAAAATTTAAAAAAAGCGAAACTACTGATTAAAAAGTAGTGAATACTCACCGCCATGATAAGAGTTGCCCCGATGAGGAGTATACACGCCATTCCTTGGCTCGGGGCAATGACTGGGCGTGTAATACTGCATAGGATGGTGTACATAATTGTTAGGGGTGCTCGGTACGTGTACCGGATGACAGTGCAAGCATCTTCGCGGTGTTTCCGGCACGCCCTAAGGAAAAGAAACTCCTGCAATGCATTGAAGAAGATAATCGTCGATCGATCGCGTGGTCGTATTAAATCGACGTATCCTGGAAATTAAACGCCGCCGGATTTAACCGAGGGCAGAGCATCGCGAGCGGAATAGCGATTAGAAGATAAACGCTTCGAGCGATTCTCGAGGGCTTGATTGACGATTCGCCAACTTACGAGCAGATATACCGAAGGTACATCGATTTCTCTGTCTCTATAATTGAATATCGTTTACTACACCTTCTCTCCGAAAAAAATACCTAACTGGGTATACATCTCCTCTGTCGTTTATATCGACACACTTTCGGTCTGATTTTCAAATATGAAGATGTTATATACTGCTGTTTAAAATCTCAAGCTCATTTCACTTTTAGCTAACGAATCTACGAAGATAGATATCTGATGAGAATGTGTGAAAGGAATTTGATAAAAAAATTTCATCAAAACTCCTAATAAGGGTGTTTTCCAACCATTTACAATAATTCTAACACAGTTAATTTCTACTGTATATAATTACTAAATAAATCACTATTAAATAAGTTCAGCCTATATATACATTTTTTTAACACTAAAACTACCAAATCGGTCAAATGACCATTCCACAAGCTTCTTATTATAACAAATACATTGTATTAAAATACATTACTTAAAATCAGAATTGATTTTCATCAAGATAAAGGATAAATGTGCACTAATTTATGCTTCGTTGTTTGTTTATTTATTTTTCAACTTCATTTTTAATTTCAAATTAAGTACACATTATATGCCTGCAGGTTTAGTGTTAACCAACCTATAAACCTACAAGCTACCTTCTCGCAAAAATTGTAATAATTTATAGTATAAAAAATTTCGAGATTTCATATCATTTCCTAGAACACTGACATTAAGGGAAGAATAGTAAGGTGCTAAACATGAAATGAACTTATAATTTTGCCACCACAATGGTCATACGTTCGAGATCTTATATTAATAAGGGTTGAAGTGTAAAGAAAAAAAGAGTATTACCTGCATAGAGTGTTGTGATCGCAGCGATCTTATCGAGCCAGCAGGATGAAGGGAGGGCACACTTCCGCTGAAACTCATAGCCGAATTTCTGCATCCGCCAGGGGTGGACCAACCCCCGCGAACGCTGGTCGAAGTCCACCCCATCGCGCTGCCGCAATCGTCCACCAGCATTTTCACAACGAATCCAGCATTTCTCCTCTCTCGTTAACCAGAATTCAGCCTTGTGAGAGGCAAACGACCCCTCGCGACGATCGTGGCCAAAGGGGCGGTTCAGAAATTATTTCTCGCCGGAGCTCAAGTTAATTCGATCGTGCTTCGAGAGAGGCATCGTTCGAAAAGGGTTGCACGCTTATCTGCAGGCACCTGTAACCAGAAAGTGCATAAAACGAGGGTCAGAGAAGGCACTGGCAGTCGATTAGAATCGTAATTAAGGCTAGGAGGAATCGTAGGGGTGGAATTGTGGCGATAGTGGCAAATGGGAATACGGTTGGGACGGATTAAACCTGGATTTTCTCGATGGGGGCCGCCGTTGTATCGTCGTTTTAATGTTCGTGTCATTTGTTACGTCAGAAATACGTCGCTCAAAACAGCTGCGCGATTAAGTACTCAAGTGAGCCTGACAACCGCGGATTAAAGTTTCATTTTCTTGATGGCAATTCCGGGGAACGTTCTGACGTTTCATTCGATCTAGTTATCGGAAACACGATACTCAAAGTATTCGAGCGTACTCCATCTTCAAATTCAATCTCCGCACGAATTAAAATTTCACATTCTTTGAATTTCATAGCAAACTTTGAAGACTTGTTATTTCTTAACAAATTCGAAACCAACAAAATTAAACACCCCCTAATTTTACATGGACTATAACATATTTTGATTAGAGCAAAATCGCAGGTAAGATCCAAGAGATCTGACGTGAAATGAAAGAGATCTGACTGAAGATAAAAATAGCACCCTTTCATTGCGAAGAAATCTTGCTATCAAGGACTGAAGAATTTTTTTTATTGAGAACTAGAAAATTAGATGAAGATTTCATTTGCGTACATCAAAGAAACATAACAGATTTATTAAAGTAACTGAATAATCTACACGTAACTTAAAAATATTTTTCCAGCTGTTAAAATTCAATAACTTAACTTTTAATTTTCATAGCTCTAATACAACTTGACCGCGAGTATCATTACAATTTCAATTGTCGATGATCCTCGGTTAACCTGATTAAAACGAATGAAAGCATCGAAATGTATATCCTTTCGTTCAATTTTTCCCGAGCCTCAATATTGCAGTTCGATTAAAAAACCAAGCGCGATCCGGAACAGTTTAATCCGGATTTTATTCCGCATTTAATTGCGAACAAACCAGGAGAAAAGGCACGATGCTTACCATGCACGATACGATACAAAAACGTTTTCAAACGATTTTTCCGCAATCCTGCGGCCGGCTACGAATTCAAAGATGAAATATCGTGGCCACGAACGGCAAAGTGGGGATTGAAAAAAAAGCCCGTGGAAAAAAGCAAATTTAATTCGCGTCACATGCATAAATAAAACGAATCTCTCGTATTAGAGGAAAGCAAATTTCGGTTTCGTATCGTCTACCTTTTGCGCTCGGAGATTTATCACGGGAATATTTTATGCATACTACTTCACGGAGGATGCTTCACGGAATTGCACGCCGAAATTCGAATTTCATTCGCTGCCTGTCAAATGGATAATGTTCCCTTTAATTCTTACGGCAACAGCTGTGGCGTAGCTTATTTACTGTCTTTTGAGGACGCTTCGAGAGATGCATTATTTTACGATTTGGACGTGATTTTTGTAGGATAGTCAAAATGTAGAATAGTATTACGGTAGGTAACAATTTTAATGCATGAGAACTTGTCGCGTGAAGATACGGTGCATGATGATTTCGATGCGTAAAATTATAGCGCGTGGAAATACGGCGCGTGACAGTTTGAATACGAGGAAATTTCGGCGCGTGGAAGTACGAAGCGTAGAAGTACGACGCGTGGATATTCGACGCGTGGAAGAACGGCGCGTGGAAGTAGGACGCGTGGATATCCGACACGTGGAATTACGGCGCGTGATAATTCGAAGCGTGGAATTACAGCGTGTGGAATCACCGCACGTGGCAGTACGAAGCGTAGAATTCTAATGCGTGGATATTCGACGTGTGGAATTATGACACGTGCAATTACCGCGCATGGAAGTACGACGCGTGGATATCCAACGCGTGAAATTATGGCGCGTGGATATCCAACGCGTGAAATTATGGCGCGTGGAAGTACAACGCGTGGATATGCAACGCATGGAATTACGGTGCGTGAAAATTCGAAACGTGGAATTACAACGCATAGAATCACCGCACGTGGAAATACGAAGCGTAGAATTCCAATACGTGGAAATACGAAACGTGGAACTACGATGCGTGGAATTACCGCGCGTGGAAATTCGACGCATAAGAATTCGAAATAAATTTCAACAAATTCAAGAGAATGGATTAAGCATCAAGTGCACAAAATGCAATTCTAAAATTTCGATATTAAAAGAAAATACGAGGTCGACGTGACTCTAAATAAAAGTATTTGCTGTACTTTATTGCGTCGTAAATATAATGCATTTATTTCATGTCGTCAGAGATAAGTCCAATAAATTTATCCCCGATGTACTAACCGTTCATATTTCGTTATCCTTGCTCACGGAATGCGAGATTTTCGACAAGATAAAGAAGAACAGCGACTGTATCGTTTTATTCGTTCTTTATAGTCTTTGCACACGTTCGTAGAAAATGTTCTCGCGCTGAAATCGTACGTGGCTGTCTCGGAAGGCGGGTGAAAACGCTTGCACACGCTTATATCATCGTCCACGACACGCTCGAGCGTTTCGTACCACCCTCGACGACGCTGGATTCAATCTAGCCGGATTATCCGGCCATCACGATTCCATCCAGCAACGATCGGAAGTTCGTAGCCTGTGTCGATTCGTATCTCTCGCCGTGTCTTCGATCAAATCGCCCTAATACTCGAGTTTCAACTACCCTACAGGAAATGAACATTGCCGATAGATGTATCCGGTGAAACAAATATGACCAGACACTGAAACGTTTTGGTTTACTGCCACCCTGATGCTTCTTTCGGATCTGATAATATACGGAGTTAGCTTGAAAAGATGTTTATTGCCCAGTCATGTGTTCTATTGACATATTTTTACGTTGTATCTCCATGCTTGGTAATTCCGCGTGTTGTAATTCCACGCTTCGAATTTTCATGAGCCGTAATTCCACGCGTTGAATATCGACGCATTGCAATTCCACGGTTCGTACTTCTACGCGCAGTAATACCACGCTTCGAATTTTCACGCGTCGTAATTCCACGCGTCGAATATCTACGCATCGCAATTCCACGGTTCGTACTTCTACGCGCAGCAATACCACGCTTCGAATTTCCACGCGTCGTAATTCCATGCTTCGAATTTCTACGCGCCGTAATTCCACGCGTCGTACATCTATGCATCGCAATTCCATGCGCCGTAATTCCATGCTTCGAATTTTCACACGCTGTAATTCCACGCTTCGTACTTTCACGCGCCAAATTTCCACGCGTCGAATATCCACGCAATGCAATTCCACGGTTCGTACTTCTACGCGCAGTAATACCACGCTTCAAATTTTCACGCTTCGAATTTCTACGCGCAGTAATTCCAAGCGTCGAATACCCACGCGCCGAAATTTCCTTGTATTGAAACTGTCACGCGCCGTATTTCCACGCGCAGTAGTTCCCCGCACCGTACATCCTCGCGCTATAATTCCACGCACCGTACATCTACGAGCTATATTTCCACACGCCACAGCCATTCTGTGCGCAGCACATTTCACAAATAAATTTTAATTTTCGGTTATTCTAAACATGACATGGACAGAGGTAAAAATAAAATTACCGTAACGAATTGTAAATAATTAACCTTTCTCGTTGACGTGTTAATTTCATACCAACAAAAAAAATGGAAGATGGGAGATAACAAACGAAAGGTGCGAAAAACTGGGTAGAATAAATGACCGTTCGCGCGAGCGAATTCATATCCAAAATGGGCAAGAGAGAAAATGTCAGAGACACGACAGCTCGCTCTGAAACTGTCGTACGGAAAAGTTTAAATGGTCTCTGGCCGTGAATGTCGGCCAACCACGAATCACGATGGCAATGGCGTTCGTTAAATTAATGCACACGACCGTTTGAAGGAACATGCATGACGCCCCCTGTTTTCCTGACAGCTATACCTATCGTTAAACCGCTCATTTTCTTTCCTCCCCTTACTTGACGTTCGTTAAATATTTGTCCGCTTTATTGTCATTTGCTTCGCGAAGGATAAACCGACGCAAAATGCTCTTCATCGAACGGCTTCTCGAATAAAACGTCATCGTTCGCATTATACGTATCGAATTCCAGGAAACTTGTTCGGCACCAATTTCGCGAAACAATAATCTGATTAAGTTTTTAATATGGTTATGAATCAATATATCCATAGGTTTCTGATACGATATACGGAATATATTATATGCAAAATTAATGCATATTGTATGCGAAATTAATCGTTCGTTGTACTCCGTTGAATAATATGCTATGAGATTGTTCTATATTTTTCAGTGATGAATTTTATAACGAACTACATTGTTGAAAATGCCATTCATTTTTATTACATATTTTCGTATTTTAAATACAGCTCGTGAAAATGCGATTTGTGGCAATTACGGAGCGTGAAAATACAATGCGTATCAATTACAAGCGCGCGGAACTACGATGCGTGAAAATAGAACGAATGAAAATGTATCACAATTACAACGCGTGGAAATACAGAGAAGATCACGAGAATGGAACTGCGGTGCGTGGTAAATGCAATGGTTGCCTGAGACAATTTCCATGCGTAGAATTACTGCGCGTGGAAACACTGTGCGTGACAATATTAATATGTGGAAATACGGGGCGTAACTATTTCAATGCGTGCGAATTCGATGTGTGATAGGTTCAATGCGTGGAATTACTGCGCGTGGATATACAGCGCGTGGAAGTACGGGGCGTCGAATTACGACGCATTGAAGTACAGAGCATGGACTTACGGAGCGTGGAAGTACGGAGCATGGAATTACGGAGCGTGGAAATGCAGAGCGTGGAAGTACGGAGCGTGGAATTACGACACGTAGAAATTCAATGCATGCGATTACCGCGCGTGGAATTACAGTGCGTGCAAACGCGAAGCATCGAATTACGGAGCGTGGAAGTACGGAGCATGGAATTACGGAGCGTGGAAGTAAAGAGCGTGAAAGTACAGAGCGTGGAATTACGACGCGTAGAAATTCGATGGGTGGAATTA